CTTTTTGCCCTAAAGGTTTAGTGACTCTGTAGGAGGGAAAGAAGTCTCTAATGGCAGAATAATCAAGACCTAAAGGAGGTAAAGGGCCAGACATGGCTAAGGGTTTACCTGCAACAGTAACTGGGATGATTACCTGCGATTCATAGATGTGGCGTTTCTCTTCTAACAAAGGTTCGCGAATGAACTATTGGTTCTTCACTACCTTAGGACCGCTTAAGCTGGCAAAGGGTGGGAGAGTTGATGCAGAAGCTTGCCCTTTAAGTTACGTCTTCTTCTTTTGATGATCAACCATTGTTGAAAGTAGTGAAAAGTTTGTTGGTTTGGAGAACAGAAAATTGGAGGAAGAGAAATGCAAGAGTATTGTTAAGAGTCAGAGAAGTTGGAAAAAATGAAAATATCAGAGGAGACTTACTTATATAGTGTATGGAAGATTGCAAGTTTTCATCATTAAGCGGCTAGAGATAGTGGGCCACGTGTACGCCTGGAGTAGGGTGGCAAATATAGTAGTTGCAATTCACGTCCCCTAGGCTGAAAAGGTGATGATGGCCCATGATTTTGGTGATTCCCGAGAAAATCGCCATGATGAAACGTGACATCAGGAACGTGCATCAAGGTGGCGGAACAGTATCTTGCGTGTTCCCCTCTATTTTCTTTTTTTTTTTTTTTCTCTTTCTTCCCTTTCACCTTCCCAGACTTGTATTGGGTGAAAGAACATCAGATGACACGTATGGGGAGGACAAGCGGCGTCGAAATCAGACGCTGTCAAAAAATGTGCTTTTCCACATCAGAAGTCGAAAAGACATTTTTAGGGGGCAATTTGTTAGCTCCTAAATTCGACGCCTCTTGCAAAAGAAAGGAGTTCAAGATGAAATGCCAAAAACAAATTGAGAATAAAAGTTGGTCGAAAGGTGTAAGGCAACTAAAGGAAGGAGTCGAAGAACTCACCAAGATTAAAAGAGAAACAAGGACTTCGGCCGTTTGTTGCTGTTGGTGGTTTGTCGAAGGTTTGAAATTTAAAAGTTTTGGAGGGAACGGTTTCGTTTGCCAAATGCTTAAGAAGACATGTGGCACCTTATGAGCAGTAGATCCATGCATTATGACAAGTGGCGAGAGGTGGTGATGTTGGAGGTTATTAGAAGTTATTTTTTACTATTATAAATAGGATGTCTTAGACATGAACAAGTGTGTTGTAATTTACCATTGTACAAATTACTCTTAGAATTACTCCAAGTATCCGAGTATAGAGAAAACGAGTATTACAGAGAATGTACGTGATGTAAACACACCATCTTTTATCTTAATGAAATTTACTTTACTTGCTTTAAAATTTACAAAGTCTTTTACTTTCTTTGCACCCTTCTCCCTTACTTTCTTTCTTTCTTCTTTGTCAATGCAACTCCTTTCTCTTCGTCCTTAATCTAATCTTTCTTCTCCAAACAAACTTCTTCCTCTTCTTTATTTTATCTTTTAATTTATTCCGTAGTCGAATAGATGTTTCTTTAAGATTCTTTTACCCAAATATTGCCTATATGTGAAACTTAGATAGATTTTCAAAGAAAAACTTTTTTTAGCACATGTCCTAGGATCAATCTGATCGATCCTGTGAGTCACTAAAGTTAGATTTAGAAGATCAGTGATTGTTTTCCGATTTTTAAGGGGAACAATATGCAATGAAGAAGCTGAAATAGTTGTTCTCTTTTGAGAAATTGCTACTGAATGTTGTTGTGATGGACCGAGAACTTGCATTGATGAATGCAATTGAAGTTGTGTTTCCAAATTCAAGACATCTGTTATGTTTGTTCATATTATAAAAAACATTAGCATGAAATGTAAGGAGTATGTTAAATTAAAAAGACATGAACATGTCATGAATATATGGAACAACATCATGTATGCTAATAGAAAAACTGAGTATCTCGCGCACTTGAAGCACTTTTAGACTGTTGTGTTGATATTCCTTTGTTTGTTAAATATGTGAATGAAACATGGTTTATAAAGAAATGTTCGTGGATGCTCGGACTAACAAAGTCACTCATTTAGGGAACACAGTAATGAACAAACACACAAACTTCTTTTCGATGTTATTACTAAGTATAATTTATCACGTCGGCTCATTATGGTTTAATTATTGCTATTTAGGGTGGATTTTGCTCATTGGAGACTGAAAAACATGTTGACTACAAGCCAGGGAGATTTATGCCGAAGTTGGGATGTTGTGAACACCATGCTTAAATTACAGCTAGGTTCAATCAGAGTGTCGTTTGAAAGAAGTATTGACCATATTGAAAATCGGCATAACATTCCATTCTATGTCAGCTTGCACTATTTTATTTCAAGGCAGCGTATACAACACATATGAAAGGAGTTAGAAAGGGTAAAATTTGTTGGTACAAGCAAGGATATTTGTGGTTGCTTCATTAGAACTACACATGGGTTACCTTGTGTGTGTCAACTTGCTGGTTTCCAAATACAAGGCTTAGCTATTCCTTTAGAACCAATTCATTTTTTGTTGTTGAAGAAGTTACACATTCAGGAGCATGCTAGTGGTCATGACGATAATGGATGGATCAACACTGGATTTAGATGCAAAGTGTGAAGAGTTGAAGAAATATTTCAATTTTTTGGATATTGTAGGCCAGAGGATGTTAAAGAAAAAAGTCTGGGAACTAACACATCAAACCACATCTTCTATGTGTCCACCGTCGGTGAAGTACAAACCAAAGATGAGAGTTAAGAAGAGCAGAAAGGGTGAAGAATGTGATGTGCATCACGATCACTCCCAGTGGGAGTATGGTAAGGGCTCGCAGGGGAGTCGGACTACAAAGAGATCATGGAAGAAACCAACAGGAAGTTAACCTTCTAGTACGCCAGGTCAAAGTTAACCTTCAAGCATGTCAGATCAAACTCAATCGTCCACTATATCTTCAAGGCATATTTACTTGTCTCAGTTTCCTGGTTTCTTGCATCCACACATTGATGACATTGTTGATGTGGATGACGATGAAAATTGTGGTTTTCGGGCTATTGCAACTTTACTTGGATGAGGCGAAAAGTCATGGGCGTTGGTCCGAACGCAATTAGGTACTCAAATTCATCAACACCAAAAATTGTTTTCCAACTTGTTATATGACACAATATCTGAAGTTAGGATTTCCTTAAAAGTAGAAAACTTGGGTGTGCAGGGTAGAGAAAAATGGATGTCGATTTCTGATATAAGTTACCCTATTGCGAGTAGGTACAATGTCATATTTGTCTCCCTTCACAGAGACTTAACATTATATTTTTCCCTCTTACCATATCTCCACCTATGTATACGAGCAGACATAAAATCATCGCTGTTGGTTTTGTCAATGGTAATCATTGAGTTCAGGTAAAATTAAAGCCTGATAGTTAATTGCCTCCCGTCACTGACCGTTAGAGACAAAGCTGTACTGAAGATGCTAAGGCATGAGAATCAACATATGTAAGACATATTTGATATTGAGAGGAAGAAGTTAGGAAGTCATCTTAATTTTCTATGTAATCTTGTGGGTATTATGTATTTTTTATATGTGAAACCATTTATGCATACTAATGTGTCGAAAATATTGAAATTACTCATTTTTTTTAGAAATTCTGATTGCATACCGAAAATTTAGAATGTTTGAAATTTTCGGTATACCGACAATTTAAAAATTTCGGTATGCCAGAAATTTAAAATTTTGGTATACCAGAAATTCATATTTCCGGTAATATTAGTTATTTTACGTAATTATCATTTTTCCAATATAGTTTTATCGGAAATTTTGAAATTCTCAATAACCAAAATAAAAAATTTCAAAATTTCTAATGTGTTCACATATACGTTCAACCACGGTAAAATTTTAAAATTTTTTAATATTTAAATAGAAATTTCATAATTTCTAAAAAAATTTAAAGAGTAAAAATAAAATTTTCATCATTTTAAAAGTGTGTAAAATATAAATGGGTGGCAGGTTAATATCTAACACCAATTTTAATGATTTTGCGACTATGGGCTATAGCCCAATACATGCATCATCAAATCATAGGGCGGTGTGATCCATATCCGATGCAAAGGAGGAGTGGGGTGCGGGGCCAGGGGTAAATGAGTAAAATCAAGTCCACTTCCGTATCCAAACGCGAACTAGGTTGTTTATTTTCGCTATAATCTTTCTCTATTCTCACAGTTCTCACTCACTCGCTTTACGCAACAACAACAAAACGCTCTTTGCTCTCTCTCTTTCCTCAACTCCGCGGCTTAGATCTGAGGAGTTTTGGAAACCCTAATCCACCGTTCTCGTCATCAACCTCACCGCGAATTTTCTCTCCGATCATCTACTTTTTTCACATCCTTAAGGTAGCTTTTTCTTCTGACTTTTTTACCGATTCGATGCTACCTATCGCTTTTTTTCTATTTTTCTCTTTTAACGCAGTATATTCGCATCGATCGTTTTCTTTTTTAATCGATTTACTTGTTATCGAGCTGTTAAGTATTGGATCTGTTTATGCTTTGATTTCCGTTTGATTTAGCAGTTTTTTCTTCTTCTTTTGAATACTGTTCTAACTTCTACGAAATTCGATTATTATCGATCCTGTCTTTTTGTGGTTTGCATATATGAGACGGTGATTTTGATTGCTTTTTCGTTATAAGCTTAATTTTAATATTAGGATAGATTTTTTTTGGTTATCCATCGTTTTTTTATTCCTTATTCCTTATTAGGTCATGTTGATTTTATTCTATCTCTTACTTAATTGTCTGTCTTTATTCTAGCTTTTATCTTTTATATTAGGTTTTATTATATCAAAATTTAAATTAGATTACTATCTCAATTGTTTGGCTAAATCATTGTACAGTAATTGGATTTTTTTTTTTATAATGGCTGAAGTTAATAAAGTATTGCTTAGACTTCTTCTTTGAGAAGGCGCAGTTGCAAACGTGAATTTTCCTTGACAATATTCTTTAGTAATTGTATGTTGATGTTATTCCTTTTCATGCAGTCATGGCAGGAGTTGCACCAGAGGGTTCTCAGTTTGATGCTAAGCAATTTGATACCAAAATGAATGAGTTGTAAGAACATCCCCTTGTCATTGCTTTGTTCTTGTTTTGAAGTGAAGCATAAAATCATGTTTTTGTCTAATTATACATTAATACTTGTTATGTGATTCTAATATTTGATTTTGTTAACTTGGCTGCTGCAGACTCACCACTGAAGGACAGGACTTCTACACATTTTATGAGGAGGTTTATGATAGTTTTGATGCTATGGGCTTACAAGAGAATCTTCTCAGAGGCATTTATGCATATGGTAGATTAAAACTTTTAAGTCTTTTTCTACTTTCTTCTATGCTATCTTTCATTATTAAACCAAATGAGATTATTTTTTATGCTTTTATCTGATTAGAGTTGACTCTTTTGAATTTTAATTGTTGACTCTTTTGGTCCTTTAAATTTGTCCAGTATGGTGGCAGCATACCTACTTTGTTTATGTTGTATGACTTTATTCAGTTGTATTTTTTGTGCTAACAATTATTTGCACTGCCCTTGTTCTTTTTGATGTATAAATGTTTGACCAAATCCTTTAACTGGTGTGATTTGTGTTAGGTTTTGAGAAGCCATCAGCTATTCAGCAACGGGGAATAGTTCCATTTTGCAAGGGACTTGATGTTATACAACAGGCTCAGTCTGGAACAGGGAAGACCGCCACTTTCTGCTCTGGGATTCTGCAGCAACTTGACTACAGTGTAACAGAATGCCAGGCCTTGGTCTTGGCACCAACTCGCGAGCTTGCTCAGCAGATTGAGAAGGTTATGCGGGCACTTGGAGATTATCTAGGTGTGAAGGTGCATGCTTGTGTGGGAGGGACCAGTGTTCGTGAGGACCAACGTATTCTGTCAAGTGGAGTTCATGTTGTTGTTGGTACCCCTGGTCGTGTATTTGACATGCTGCGCAGACAGTCACTTAGGCCAGATTACATCAAGATGTTTGTGTTAGATGAGGCTGATGAAATGCTTTCTCGTGGTTTTAAAGATCAGGTGCTTTTTTATTTGTATTGCTTTTATAACTTGTCAATTCATATATTACTAATTTTATTTCTGGTTTCTGATGTACAGCACATCATCACTTTTTATTTATTTAAAATATATTGATGGTTAACACAATTCTTATCCAGGTTATAGAGTTTTTTAATTATAGATATTTGAGTTTCAAAATAACTGCTGTTCCTGTTGAAATTTAAGATTCCCTTCTGCCAAGCTTTGTTGTAGATTATGGATATATTACATTCCCCTGTAAATCATAAGTATCAATTGCCAAACAAATATGTTTTGTAACCTATGTCAAAATGGGAATGTATAGGGATGTTTTTGCAATTGCATACCTTGAAATGAACTGTCAATACTGTCAGTAGCAAAACTGGAATATGGAAGCAAGTTCCTTTCCATTATTTCTAATCTGCCTATTTAAATTTTTATCAACACTACCTAGTATACAATTTTTAGAACTTGTGTAAATCATGGGAATTTATTTTTGCTCCTTTCATTTATCTAGAAGATTTGATCTTTATTTGCTTATTGTTTATTGCCCTAAAAGAGTCCGTGCGTGTGTTGTAACCGTTTTATTTTCAGATCTACGATATATTCCAGCTGTTGCCATCTAAGATTCAAGTGGGGGTTTTCTCCGCCACAATGCCTCCTGAGGCGCTTGAGATCACAAGAAAGTTTATGAACAAACCTGTGAGGATTCTTGTGAAGCGTGATGAGCTCACCTTGGAGGGTATTAAGCAATTTTATGTCAATGTTGATAAAGAGGAATGGAAGCTTGACACACTCTGCGATCTGTATGAGACATTGGCTATCACTCAGAGTGTCATTTTTGTGAATACCAGACGGAAAGTTGATTGGCTAACTGACAAAATGAGAAGCCGTGACCATACAGTCTCAGCAACACACGGAGACATGGACCAGAATACTAGAGATATTATTATGCGGGAATTCCGTTCTGGATCTTCCCGTGTTTTAATAACTACTGATCTTCTGGCTCGTGGTATTGATGTGCAGCAAGTGTCTTTAGTTATAAATTATGATCTCCCAACACAACCCGAAAACTATCTCCATCGTATTGGTCGTAGTGGAAGGTTTGGTAGGAAAGGTGTTGCAATTAACTTTGTCACGAAGGATGATGAAAGAATGCTGGGTGACATCCAGAAGTTCTACAATGTGTTGATTGAGGAGCTTCCTTCCAATGTTGCTGAACTTCTGTGATGAAATTTTACTTCCATCAACTAAAAGGAAGTTGGTTTCTGAGGTAAGTTATATGTAATGTTTCCCACCTTTTTGCCCTGTTTGTTGTATTTCTGTTTTGAAACCTTGTTTGGCCTTTTTAATAGGTGTAGTAATTTTATTTACATTTTCAGTTGTCCAAACATTCTAAGTGATAAGTACTTACAACGTGGAATCCATTATTGTCTGAATTGGTGTATTGATGGTTGTTTCACCTTTCTAGAAAGGAAGTTTTTAAGTTGAAGTTTTAAATTATTCTAATATATACATTGAGCTAGTATTGGTTTTTTGGATGTAAGCAAAGCTAAATCGCTAGCATGGTTGGTATCTGTGCCACAGGATATAGTAATATCCATATATTACATTTAGCACATTTCATTCTCTTGATTGCTGTAAAAAAAACAAAAAATGGTATTGGAGACTGCCATAGGATATGGTTCAATTTCTGCCATTTATTTTCAACAATTAAGAACTTTCTAATAGTGGTATTGTCAAATAGCCGGGACATGGCGTTGAAATGCAGAAATTTGAATAACTTGTAATCATTCTGAAATACTACACTATTCAATCAAGTAGAGGTTATGGCATCATAAAACTAGCAGCAGAATTTTAAAAAACCACTTTTTTATGCGTTAACATTATAGGACACATTGTTTAATCATCTACTAGCTGTGATTTTATTTCGAATTGCACTATTATAAGCTTGGATGTTGGGCGATGTTAATTCTCACAGCATTGAATCTAGTGTGTTTTTATTATTAAGTTCATAAAAAACATTGATTAGCAAACAAAATTAATGGCAACTGGTTGTCTTTGTTTTTATTTTCCAATTTACACAATTTTGGATTGGCTGTTTTTTTGACAGGGCATTGCTTATTGAGATTTTTTCAAGCCACCCTCCCTCACTTAAAAATGAGACTCAATTTTCAATAATATACATATTACCTTTGTTAAGTTTTTAGCAACACTCAATTTTCTATAATATACTCCCTCGTTTTAGAGAAAAATTTGTTTCAAAATTAATGTAATTCACACTTTTTAATGAAAATTTGTTTCAAAATTAATGTAATTCACACTTTTTAATGAAAATTTGTTTCAAAATTAATGTAATTCACACTTTTTAATGAAAATTTGTTTCAAAATTAATGTAATTCACACTTTTTAATGAAAATTTGTTTCAAAATTAATGTAATTGACACTTTAATGAAAATTTGTTTCAAAATTAATGTAATTCACACTAAAATGAATAATTGTTATTTTTTCATTTTTATACCTTGATTATTACTTTATATATAATTTAAACACATTAATAAGGGTAGTTTAGTATAAGTGTAATATTTTATTATAATATTATAATATTTTTTATTTCTTAATCTTAATCAGTGTACACAAATTTTAAATTGACACTTATTTTAAAATTGAGGAAATATATATTTTTAGCAACTTAGTGTATTTAAGAAGTTAGTGGAAAATTTTGGCTTTTTAAAAAACAAAAGTTTATTGGAATTTTTGCAAAATTTTGAAAATTTGGTTGTGTAAAATTATTGGTTTTTTAAAAAGTTGAAGTATTTTATTGGATTTTTGGAAGGGCTTTAAAAAAATTAATAATCTAATATTTAGTAGTTGAGATTGACAGTTTGGTACGAATGTGATTACACTGATGATTGTGTGTGGTCTAAAATAAATTTGAATTTGTATAAGTAAGAATCATTTGGTACGAATGTGATTACACTGACGATTGTGTATGGTCTAAAATAAATTTGAATTTGTATAAGTAAGAATCATGTGTTGTTAAAAGGAATATCGTAAAATGCCTCATTATTTGTTTCTGGCTACATCAACATAGTGAAATTTCAATGTTGATTTTGGGCTCTTGAAAGACACCACACGTCTCGCTTTTTTAAGATTCAAATTGAACAATATGATGTTCGACATCGAGAGCAGAAAAGCGAGTAAGATTAAGTTTTTTGTATCATGGATTGACGAAAAGGTAAAATAGAATCATATTGAAGATTTGAAGGTTAAGTAAAAAATATATCATAGTAGGCTAATAAAGGGATCGATCGAGTTTGAAGTGATAATTTTTAGATCTGTTGACGACATAATTAAGATGTTGAAATGTCCAAAAATATATATTAGTGTCTAGGTTTTTGTTAGTTATTTTTGTTAAGTTATATGATTGTCTGTGATAAGTTATGTTAATCGTAATGCGTTTATGTTCATCTTGCAATAATGAAAGCGACACAATATTTTCTAATACCATATGTTGCAAATGTACGAGTAATACAACAAATAATAATAATAATAATAATAATAATAATAATAATAATAATAATAATAATAATAATAATAATAATAATAATAATAATAATAATAACGTGTACATAGTTCTCAACGAACTATGTGTGCTGCATGTGATGGCAAGGTATAAACTTCACCATCCAAGTTTACCAAATCCATGAGGTTATCCATAATGATTGTTATCATTTGCAAACGCTGATGGTCTACCACACCAGATGGAGGCAATGGTACGTCATCAGAAGACCCCATAACATCGAAAGGTCCAACATATCTCCATGCTCAACAAGTGGGTTGATGCGAGGATGTGATACAATAAGGTACCACTTTTAGTAACCATTAACACACTGCACAAGGAACTAAATCTTCACTACAGGATCTCTAATGGCACGAGCAAAATTGATAACGTTACCCACAAACCATCTATCAGTGCCCTCAGATGGAACAACAAGACTGGTCGTAGAATGTCCTGTACATACCCAAACTGGCGCAAACACATCTCAGGTAAGTATCTAGCCCCCTAAGGTCTCCCATCATGTATAACCAGAAAAAAGGAAGTCTCATCAAACTCACGATGCACTCTATGGTCTGCGTATGGTGTTCATATGATATCATTTATAGTAAGCGCATTAATCCTCATTATGTACTCCAGAACACTGCCTAGGTATGCATGCATGAACTTCCATCTCTTAACCCGTGTGGAGCCAACAATGGTAGAAATAATCAGGCTCTCACAAATGGAAGGGAAATGCTCGTATATCCAACATTGCACAAGAACATAGGTGAATCAAGAAATGTCATTAAAAAAACTAAATTAATAAGAAATATTAAATTTTTATACCTAAAATAGACTCATATAACCAGAAAGCTTCTTAGTCTCAAAGATAGTCCACTCTCCAAGTGCAGTGTGTAGAACCGTTAATGCAGCATACCCTATGCCCGACTGACATAGTTAAGGTTACTAAACAACCATGTGTACCTCACATCGACATATACACGAGATTTATCTGCTAAGATAATACATCTAACACGATGTAACATGTATATCCTAGTGGTTGCCTCATACATATACTGTTGCACTAGCTCAACAAACTTATCCCGGAGCCAAGATAAGTGAAAGTGAGCACCTATGTTAGTCTTAAACTCATCTCTCACCTTCCCCTTAGTAACCCTACAAATTCTATATAGCAGTAATACATGCATGCTCCTGGTTAGTAACAGGAGCGATAAAGAAACTACCTGGTAGGGGAATATGGAACAGAGATGAGACATTATCCAAAGTAATTGTCATCTTACCAAATAGAAGATGAAAGGAAGATGTCTCCTTATGACATCTCTCAACAAAGGCTATCAATAGGGAATCATCGAGCATGGTCAGGAAACAGTCCAACAATGTAAGGAGACCACAATAACCAATAATTTCCCTAACCTCCTGAGGCATCAGGGCATCTAAGAACTTTTTCAACTTTTCCCTATGGATGGGCACATTCAGTGACAATCGGTCCTGTAAAAAACAAAGTAAAAGCATAACTTATTTTCGATGTTTCAATAATAAATAAAGTCAAGTTCAACATAACATATATATACCTCTTCCTACCATAATCTGAATGCTAGATGATCGACATATCCAATGAGTATAGAATGGTCATTGGGACTTTAAGGAAACCCTATATCTATGTGTACATACAAATCTATTAAAGCCAGAGTAATAACCCCCGTATCACCCGTAGCAAGCGTAATAACCTCTTTATCAGCCAGAGGAGTAACCTCCACATCACCTATAGCAAGGGCATACGCATCTATATCCTCCAGAGCAGTAGCCTTCGCATTCTCCGAAGGATCCAATTATGTAACAACCTAAGGAGTCTCCATATCAGCCAAGGTCTCCACCTCAGTATGAAGGACCACTTCTGTCTTGGCCACCATCTGCCCATCATCCTACTCCTGACTCTCCACATCCTTAGTTCCTGTGTGGATATCATTAACAAGCGGATCATCAACAATATATATGGCCTATCCATCAACTCTAGCTACTCTACATCAAATCCTGCAGGGTGCACGAGCCTGCTCAACCATCCGCATCTTGTGTGAACCGATTAGGGCTATGCTCCCCACCCTGATATGTGAAGCCTCTACAACACCGAACCTCACTTATTAACAATCCAACATTACATACAAAAAATAAGTTACTACCTAAATACATTGTTAGATAAAAAAACTAAAATGCATCAAAACACGTGTCACTGCCTGAATCTATATCTATGAGTGACTCCACCTTTTACTTTTGCTTATTTGATTCTCTTTCAATCTCGCTCAACTTTATGAATTCTTCCATATTATCTAAAAAGTTATCTTGCCATGTTTCAACTTCCTTTGTGGAATGAGTTGTCCACTCTGGTGGTGTCCATGGAATAGAGGATCCCAACTTTAAATAAATTTGAATAAAACATATTGATTTTGAAAGCAGCCTAATACACATAATGCGTTTGGTTGGATGTTGAGGTTTGCCACTCCGAAGTGGAAAAATGTTTTAGAGAAACAATATTTTGCCAAATTAATACACACCCTATTATATGCAATTGCTATAAGATAACCTATTTCAGGGAAACACATCCATTTTTCCTCTGGCACGAGACCACTAACACAAGGAATAAGAGATGCACGAATTGCATCGAAAATGTTAT